TTACTTCTGAAGCATCTTTCTCTTTACAACCAAACTGAACCCAAGCTAGAGAAAGCTAACTGACCCTTCTTTCTCCTTCTCCCATCATCATGGCTACACATCAGTGAATAACAGGATATTAGGAAAATATACAATAATTGTATAAGCTTTTACCACATGATCTACTAGGTAAATCAATGGTTGTGAAAAATCCATTTTCCAATCTCCCATTTCTCAAGTGACCTATAAATTGCTCTCTCTAAAATTCTGTTCCACCCTCCCAAGGGAAATCTTTTTTTTTAAATCCTTACCTGAGGTCATCTTTTTCACTGCTTTTAGAGAGAGAGAGAGAGAGAGAGAGGAAGGGAGAGAAATATTGATCAGAGAAGCATCCCATTGTTGCCTCCTGAATGTGCCAGGATGGGAGCCTGGACCCAGGACCAGAGACCAGACCAGGGAATCGTATGCAACCCATCCAGGGGTCTCACGCACCCGCGCCCAGACTGGGGATCGAACAGACAATCTAGACACGTGCCCTGACCAGGAACTGAACCTGTAATCTTTCAGCTACAGGATGACTCTCCACCCAACCGAGCCATACGCCATACGGGGCAGGGCTGGTAACATCTAATATGGTGACAGTCTGGTAACATTCTCAGGGGGAGGTGGGGGGGGTCTAGACTTGCACTGCCCAGGGCAGTAGCTACTAGTCACATGTGGCTACTAAGCATTTAAAATGTTTAGTGTGAATTAAGATGCGGTATTAATGTTATATTTTTTTATAGAACGAATGGTATTCTGAACATATTAAATTAAAAATAATTTCACCTGTTTAAAAATTTTAAGTGAAAACTTAAATGTTACACGTGGGGATTGTATTGTACTCGTATTTCTATTGGATAGTGACTCATTAGAGACACAAATGAAAGGACTAGAAAAGATGTCGTCCTCTTGTAGAATGTCACCAATAGTTTTCTTCTGAAAGTTATTTCTGTGAATTGTTCCAGTAAGCTTGTAAGAAAATACTAATGGCATGAGCTTGAATTTCTTTCAGTAATGAGACTTAAGAATCAGTTTATTTTATCCATTCAAAAATTTCCTTGAAAGCTCTAAATTCTTGCCACTTCTTCCTCTTCCTTCAAGTCATTTTTTTGTAAAAATCTGTTGGGCACAGAACACTTAAATTGTTTCAGGGAAATTTAGATGCCTGGATTAAATTAAACTTCTCAAGAATATTAGCACTGAGTGATCCCACAGTTATTCTGGTTGACCAAAGACTCATTGCTCAATGTGGGAGAGATGGGTGTGGTGATAAATTCCAGTTCTCTGAGCTGGGTAACCAGGAAAAAAAGGCTTTCCGCTATAATGCAGCAAAAGCAGGATCTCACTGCTTAAGTGTCTACTTCCACTTGAATGGGGGAGTGGGAGGGGGGACGGGTCAGCTTAATGGCAATTTACCCACATTTTTGCCATGAATAATGTGCATTTCCTGCCCAAATTTTTTAGGGAAAAATAATGATGCCTGAGAGGCAACCATACATTGATATTTCTCTCCCTCTCTCCTTCCCTTCCCCTTTAAAGATAAATAAATTTTAAAAAATAAATAAAGTAATAATGTCACCCTTCATGATTTGATAAGAGTTGTATGAGCCCTGACCGGTGTGGCTCACTTGGTTGGAGCACTGTCCCATAGATCGAAAGGTCGTGGGTTTGATTCCCATTCAGGGCACGTGGAAAAAAAAAGTTTTATGATAACGATAAACTATTTATTCAATGCTTCTCTCCTGATAAAGCAAATTTACATTAGTTCACTAATACAGTCTAATCAATTATTTGTGTGAGGGCATACATTTATAAGACAATTGAGTGCATAAAAGTACAAAAATTGGTTGTAAAGAAAAGCTCTAAGAATGACAAACTATTATTACTCAGGCTTCACTGGTTCTATAACTAAAGCAAACCAGTACTAACTTTAAACTTTTCTGGCTACAGAATGAAAAGTTTTCTTTAAAACTTCAGTACATAATTATTTGTCATAGGAATGCTATAAATGTAGGAACAAGAGTCTTGGTTTCTAGTTGTAATTCTGCTGTGCATGTATAACATGCATAAAGTCCTTGAAAATTTAGTAGTTATTTTTAGCTCAACCTCCCTTCAGTGCCAAATGTCTATAAACAATTTTTATCATAGATGAAAAGACCTCTCATATTATCACTCCAGCTGGAAGTAATCTGTAACCATTCCTCTAATCCAGCAATTTTCAACCTTTTTCATTTCATGACACACAAACTAATTACTAAAATTCTGTGGCACCAAAAAATACTTTTTTTGTTGATCTGACAAAAATAGGTATAATTCAGATTCAAACCAGATGGCTATTGTTGTGTTGGCTATTATCTTTTCTTAGTTGACAATCTAAGGGGAAAAAGGTCAATGTCCCTGATTAAATACTCAGATACCATGTTTTAAAAATTCTCGCGGCACATCGATATGCCTTTTGCAGCACACTGGTGGAAAATCGCTGCTCTAAACTTCTATAAAACTTGCTTGTACCACTCCACAATAATGACCAGAGGCTAAATAGTCTCTTTAACTCCCTTATAGATGCCACCTTTGGGGAAGGCAGGGATCTCAGCTAATATAAATTTATACCCTATACAGTCTCTAATACAGTGTCTGCATTTTTATATACCAATACATTTTACTGGATTAGTTGGACAGTACTTGGCAGCAATGTAGTTCCTGCCTGTCGATGCTTCCCAACCCCCTCTTCTCCTCACCGGATGTGGTGATCAGCCAGCAACAGGAAAAGTGTTATTTCAGCAGTCTTAACTCTAATACATAAATTACAACATCAACAAAATGCTTATTTAAGAGTTCACAGAGGATCTAGGATGTTATGGCCTAGCAAGCATCTCCAAAGACCAATCCCAGGGCTACATCTCTGTCCTTCCACTGCCCCTGATACGGAAAAATCTGTTAATATCAATATATTAATAATCTATACTAGTGCAATGTATATAAAATACCATCAATAAGTATCTTTAGACACATCACTGGATGAATGGAAGCAAAATGATCATATTGAAAGTGATGATGAGTTGATTTCAAAGTGTATCTGAGTACCATCCACTCAGACATACTCAGTCCATCTTTGTCAACTCACAGTTCCCCTAGCTGTGATTCTTAAAAGGATCCTACTGAAGACCCCTGAATGACTGTAAAACCCAGATTATGCCCAAGCAAACTCATCCTCTTGACACACAAATGAGGGGGGACCCCCAAACAACAGGAATTATCTTCTGGAGGGTGGCCCCTTATAGTACAGGCTTCCTCTGATAGGTGACTTTTTTACAATAGGAGCCCATCTGTTTCAGTGTACCAACTGGTATTGTTGTGAGAGGCTGCATTCGGCTTCAGTTAATTTTTTGGGGGAGGAGACTCTTCCAATGCCACCTTCCCAAAGGAATGGGAAGACTCTCCCACTCCACCTAAAGAATGGGTGATTTCTGGTCCACACCCGAACCAGCAGTTTTTGACCAAAACCAGCATGACCTTCCTTGCCCCACCCTCCCTATACACCCATCTTGCCTTGAGCAACTCTTTTTTGTTTCCCCAATGAAAAATGTCCTCAAAGATAAACATTTTGCTGATGTGGACGAGGAGAAACAAAATAACTGCGGAAGCACTAAAAGGCATCAAAATTGTCCAGTTCCAAAACTGTTTTGGGCAGTGGAAAATATTCGATGGGTATATTGCATCAAATGGAGAATACTTTGAAAGTGACCGAAGTTTAAACACATAAGAATAAACACACAATTTTTTATAAGTAAATTCCATTGGGGGGATTTATAGGTTACCTATCATACAATTTACAGACCATCTATCTGGACCCTTTATTTGCACGCTACACAGTAAATTCTACAGTTATGGCCACTGTTTGGTATTTGGTTAACTAAATTTACTGGATAAGGTCAAGGATGCATTTATTTGTCTTATGTTAAGTTCCATTCTATGACAAAGATTAATTTATCAGAGACGACAGTTTTCTACTTCTACCTCCCAGCAACTTTATTTATGATTCATTAATATTGACTTTATGGTCCATCCCAGGAAGTAAATGAAACTCAGTTCTCAAAGACACTACTCTTGAGTTTATACACTTAGAAATTGAGATCGAAGACCTTCAAGTTTTATCCAGAGATCCAAGGGACTTTTGCCTTGAGGCAAAAGCAGCTCTTGAAACTGCACCACATTACTAGTCTCTTAATTGGGGCAGCTGTAGGAAATTAAGTTTTTACTTGGGGAATGCTAAAAATCATAATTAGACGCTCCAGCAGAAGCAACAAGACAAGGCAAAAATACAATTCCCTAATAAAGCTTTTAGAACTTTTTTCTATCGCGGACTGAAGTATGCAGCTAAGCATGGAAACCCGAAACATTCGCCTTTTCTTTAATATTATACAAAGTTTTTCTTAAAATCAAAGTATTTTCATGCTTTCCTCCCCCTTGCTTCTACACCCTCAGAGCCAGCGAACACGACTTTCCTGGCAGAGGCACAGCACTCTGGGGATGTGGCCTTGGGGCGGGGTTGGCAGACACGAGGAAGGTGGCAGGGAGCTGTTCCAATGACACTACCTGACTGCCCTCTGACCCGCAGGAGGTAAACTAGAGTGACTCCCTAGTTCGCGGGCTCGGTGTGTGGCTGGGCCTAGGAACAGAGGACGTGGCAAGCCAGACACGAAACAGTACCCCAGGGAACGTAAAGCCGGGAGCCTGAGTTAGCAGGATCGAGGCCCCTTCCCAAAGCGCGCCAGAAAGCAAGCGGCGGCCTCCAACCTAGGGTGCCCCCCCCCCCCCGAAGGCCACAGGGTCGCGAGCCGGATCAGGCCCCACGTCCCCGAAATAGCAGAAACACAGGCCACGAACAAGGGAGACCGCTGCCGCACCAGGGGCGAGGTGAAAAAGAAAGCGAAAAAGGACGAGTCTGCGGAGAAAGGGTTGAGCTCCGCTGTACCTACCTTCCCCGGTAGCACCTACAGCCCAACTCGCCGCAGCCGCAGCTCACCCACCGGCTCAGTTCACCCACCGGCTCAGCTCACGCGCGCTAGGACCACCTAACCGGAAGTGGCTGTTCGCCCCGCCCTTGCCCGCCTCCCCAGCGGCAGTTTGACCAATCAACAGCAAACCCGCATATGACGTAGATCTTCCCTGGGTAGCTATTGGTCCCACAATCGCGTAGCCGGGATTGGCTGGAAATCGCCACGTCCCCGCCAGCGCGCCTAGTTGCGTGGACCGAATTCCAGCCCAGCTGGTCCTGGGTTCTGCGGGATGGCCAGTCCCAGCCCCAGTCCCAGCCCCAGCCCCAGCCCCAGCCCCAGCCTCACACACTGGGCAGCTGGTGGGCGGGGCCGCCTGGCTGCCACGTCCTGGTTCACAGGGCGTGACTACGTCTCCGCAGGGCTTCTTGGATTACCCTGCAAGTTAACTTCGTACCCGGGAGCGCCTAGTGCTGAATTAATTCTACTGTATGAAAATGAAAAAGGGGCGTATACTAAACCCGAGAAGCTCAGGGGAGGCCTGCAATGACAGGCCTTAGAATTTCAGAGCCCGAAAGTAACCTCATAGGATAATCTGAACTTAAAAATTCCTGATAGCTGGTCATGGGGGTTGGTCATGTCCTAGGCCGGTAACTTCCTTGACAAAGGTCAGTGTTTATGTGCATCTAAGATGACATACCGTTGAAATGTCAGAATAATCTTCCTGACCCCATCAATGTGCAACTGTGGACACCAGGAGACCAGAGGAGCCCCGCATTGTTATCTTGTTCCTCTCATTACCATCACTATGTGTTGTAAATGTTTATCAACTATCAGTTAATAAACCGATACCCACCAGTACTCCTGTACCCACCAGTGCAAAAGAAGTATGGATTTCTCCATCTTGCCGTTTATCCAATCCCAGAGGTTTCCCAGCTTTGCTTTCTCCCATCTCCCTAAACCACCAAGGGATTTCATTGAACCCTCCTAACACCGCCTTTGATTCTATTGTATAAAATAAGCTGCAAAACTGCGATTCTCCAAGGTATTTTCTCAATCCATTTATATTTTGCTTCCCAGTAATTGTCATCAGATTGGCTCAATACAATACACTGATAAAAATTCTCCACAGGTTGAACATTTCTTACATCAACAGTATCAATTGCTAACTGTATTGAACAACCCCAACTTCTTTTCCTTTAGCATTACCTCTCTGATGGGGTAGTAGGCTCTTTACTCTGGCTTCAGAGTAAAGAGTATCCAGAGTATCTTTTCACTTCATTTCCCACCACTCCCTCTCACATACCTTGCTTTCTGACCACCATCATGTTTCCTAACAGCCCTGCCCTTTCACCTCTTTCATCATCAAGTCACCCCCTGGACCTGGAATAAGTGCATTTTCCAGATTCTTTGACTTGTGAATACCAGTAGAAGTTATTGGTTCATAGACATCAGGATTAAGATGTTAGCAGTATCAGCTTTTCCTAACCTCATTAGGCATAGTAAGTCCTTCCTTATTTGCCTTCATAACACTATGTATCTTCAGTACAGTTTGCCAAATTTCAGTATAAAACACTGCTTATTCAAATGTCCTCCTCCAGACTAAGCTCAAGGGTAGAGATCTGCCTTATTCATTTTTGTATCTGTGGCTCCGACCTTACTGCTTAAATAATGTTAGGAGAACAGAATGCACATCACTGATTAAGAGAAACAAAATTATTCACTTGTTTTCATGTCATGAAATTAAAACAAAAATGAGGGCTACTATGTTAATAGCACAAATGGAGTATAAACCTACTGTATTGTTAGCACATAAAACCTCTGTACTTTGAAATCCAGTTGATACAAGTAGTATGCTCATGAAGGAGTTTAATACAAAGTAAGTTAATTTACTTTTAAGCGCTGAGATGAGAGGTTGACAACTAATGCTTCTAGAATTCAAAGGAGGGACAGTGATCCTTGGTGGTAGCCAGAGAGGGCTCCTAAGAAGTTCTGACTCAGGCTAGACGAGTAAAGTCCTGAATGAACTATTCAGCAAGAGTAATAACAGGAACAAAGGCAAGTGAGGAACAGAGTGAAAGGTGAATTTTCAGACCAGGTAGGAGGCTACAGATGTTTAAAAAAATAAAAGGTGGGGCAGAGCCATGAAGGGAAAGCATAAGTGGTAAATATTTTTTCTTAATTTTTTATTGTTGGCACTATTACAGACGTCCCCATTTTCTCCTCTTTACCTACCTCCACCCAGCCCCCAACCCCCTTCCCTCCGGCCATCATCACTCTGTTGTCTGTGTCTGTGAGTTATGCATGTATGTTCTTTGGCTAATCCTTACCTCTTCTTTCTAGATGGTAAACTTCTATGGGTAATGAAAGGTCTTAACAAGCTGAGGAGCCTGAGGCTGAGGGCAATAAGAATTATTGGTCTTCTTCTGAAGATTTCTAAGATGGGGGAGGTGGAGTAAGATTAAAAGTGGTTCTTTGGGGGATTAACTATAGAACAGGCTTCATCCACAGGGTTTTTTTTGTTTGTTTTTGTTTTTTTACTATTTTCCTTTATATTTTTTAAGAGAATAAATTTTATTTAAGGAATTTCATGTTTTGAGTTCTTCCACTGCCTTAGTTCCTCCTGAGTTTGAACCTTAATCCCTTTTCAATCTAGTTGCCACGTCAGTCATTTCACAGTTCTTTTAGTTGAGCTTCTTTAATCTCCCCTTGAATACAAACATACTTCAAAATTTCCCAACTGTAATCATTGGGACCCAATTTCTTCAAGCAATGTACTTTGGGGCCCACTAAACATGAGTAAGTTCAAATCATATTCCTCCTAAACTATTACTCCCTAGAATAGCACAGATCTTTGGGATACACAAAAAGCCAAGATAAAAAATAACTAGATTATGAGGTCTTTCATAGTTTTAGCAGTTCTGTCTTGTAGTTCCATCCCACGGTTCTAACACAGAGTTCTTTCTTTGTTTGTTTAACACCCAGTTCTGTGAATAAAGGAATCAATATATTTACTCTTTGAGGCATTTCCAACAATGTAGGTCTACAGAAAAACCCCATCAGGATAGAGCTCAACGAAAAAAACTATTTTTTAAAAGATTTTATTCATTACTTTTTAGAGAGAGGGAAATGAATGGTGAAGGAGAGGGAGAGAAACATGGATCTGTTGCTTCTCTCAAGCCCCCAATTGGGGACCTGGCCCACAACCCAGGCACATGCCCTGACCAGGAATCAAACCAGCAACCTTTTGGTTTGCAATGCAACACTAAATCCACAGAGCCATACCAGCCAGGGATGAAAAATGATTTTTAAAATACCTCTTTGAAGTCAGGAACTGTGCTAGATACCAGTGAACTCACACCTAACAGCCTTAAAGAAACTGCAGCCTAGTGAAAAAACCACCACCTTGGATGCATCCTAGAGGATGAGGTGGTGGTCCTCTGCCAAAGATGGGGCTCTCCAACCCTGTTATTCCCTGTGGATAAGGGCCTGGCCTAGCCAGCAATGCAAAGGGAGAGTAGCACTATATGCAAGGAAAAATGTTAAAGTGGGAGTAATGAATTTTGGACTTAGTGACTGCTTGGATGAAAAAAATTAAAAAACATTAAAAAATGTAAAGTTTTAATCATAAGAAACTGGGAGAATAAGCAAGGCGAGTGGAAAATGAGAAAAATGAGTTGATTCAAGATATGGTAAGTATAAGGTGTAGCCAAACACCTCAAAAGAAAGGAATAGGAGTTCAATTGGTAGCGGGAGCTGAGAGCAAGAACTGACTCCAGAGAGCCCTGAGCAACCCCCCTACCACCTGCTGGCCTAGTTACCATCACACCCAGGGCAGAGCCACAGCTGCTGCAGCTGCCCCAGTCACTAGCACCACAACTGCAGTGGACACCAAGCCCGGCACCTCAGGCCCCCGGGGCTTCACATCAGCAGCCCCCACTAGTGCGGACAAGAAGATCATCAAAAACGAAGGTTTTTGGAACACTAAAATGGCTCAATGTAAGAAACAGATATGGTTTCATCAACAGGAATGACACCAAGGAAGATGTATTTGTACACCAAGACTGTCATAAGGAATAACCAGGAAGTACCTTTGCAATGTAGCAGACGGAAGAGACTGTGGAATCTGATGTTGTTCAAGGAGAAAAGGGTGCAGAGGCAGCAAATATTACAGGCCCTGGTAGAGTTTCAGTGCAAGGCAGGAAATCCATGTGCAGCAGACCTAACCATTACGGATGTTATCCATGTCGCAGGGTTCCTCCACACAATTACCAGCAGGATTACTAGAACACTGAGGGTGGGGAAAAGAATGAAGGATCAGAGAGTGCTCCTAGAGGCCAGGCCCGACAACAGCGCCAGTCCGACTGCGGGTGATAGTTCCCACCTTACTACATGTGGTCTACATGCGGAGACCCTAGGGGCCCTGACCACAGTTTTCCAACCATCCTGGCACAGAAAGAAGTGATGACGGGTGCTGAAACCAGGGTGCAGGAGAACAAGGTAGACCAGTGAGACAGAATACATATAGGAGCTACAGATCATGATTTTGCAGAGGCCCTCCTCTCTTAAGACAGCCTAGAAAGGGCAGCAATGTAGAAGATAAGGAAAATCGAGGAGATGAGACCCAAGGTCAGCAGCCACCTTGTCAGCAGCCACCTCAATGTCAGTACCCCCACAACTTCAATTCTGATGCCCACAAAATCCTAAACCACAAGCTGGCAAAGAGACAAGCAGCTGATCCACCAACTGAGAACTGGGCAGGGAGGGGTTGAATTAATGCTGCTTTTTCATCTACCATTGTCATCAGGTTGAGTCATTCAACAAGAAGAAATGAATATGAAATTTCAGCAAGAAATTAACAAAAGGAGACTTCCAGTCAAGATGGAGGTATAGGTACACTTTGCCTCCTCGCACAACTAAAAGAAGGACAGCAACAAATTTAAAACCAGAAAACAACTGGAACTGCTAGAAAATTGAACTGTATGAAAGTCCAACAACCAAAAAGTTAAAGAAGAAACATTCATACAGACCAGTAGGAGCCGCGGAGACAGGCAGCCAGGTCAGAGAGGACTCACAGCAAGGCAGTGGTTGGAGGACTGGGGTAGGCAGCAGCTGGTGGACCTGGGAAGTCAGTGGCTTGCAGACAGGAGTATCTCACATTTTTGTGCAGATAAATTGGGAGAAACAACTGGGGAGCAAGATAGACCAAGCAAACCAGGGTTCAAGCACAGGGAAATAAAGCCTTGAAACCTCTGATTGAAAAAAACCTGTGGGGGTTGCAGCAGTGGGAGAAACTCCCAGCCTCACAGAACAGTTTGTTGGAGAGACCCACAGGATCCTAGAATGTACACAAACCCACCCACCCAGGAATAAGCACCAGAAGGGCCCAATTTGCCTTCTGGTAGTGGAGGCTGAAAGCTGGCAAAGAGTGGAGCAAGTGGCACTGTTCCCTCTAGGACTCCTGCCTCACATATGGTGCTACATCACAGCTATGTGGGGTACCCCATCACAGCTATGTGGGGTGCCCCACTCTGGTGAATAACTGAGGCTCCGTCCGCCCCTTACTATATCACAGGCACACCAAGACAAAAATATATAGCACAAATAAAAAAACATATCAAAGCTCCAGAAAAAATACAACTAAGTGATGAAAAGACAGCCAACCTATGAGATGTACAGTTCAAAACACTGGTAATCAGGATGCTCACAGAAATAGTTGAGTATGGTCATAAAATTGAGAAAAAAGTAAAGGCTATGAAAAGTGAAATAAAGGAACCCAACAGTGAAGGGAAGGAAACTGGGATTCAAATCAATGGTTTGGAGCAGAAGGAAGAAATAAACACTCAATCAGAACAGAATGAAGAAACAAGAATTCAAAAAAATGAGGAGAGTCTTAGGAACCTCTGGAACAACTTAAAACACTTCAAGATCTGAATCATAGGGATGCCAGGAGAAAAGGAAGAGCAAGAAACTGAAAACTTATTTGAAAACATAATGAGGGAGAACTTTCCTAACCTGGAAAAAGAAATAAACTTCCAGGAAGTCCAGGAAGCTCAGAGAGTCCCAAAGAAGTTGGACTAAGGAAGTACACACAAAGTCACATCATTATTACATTACCCAAAATTAAAGATAAGGAGAGAATCTTAAAAGCAGCAAGAGAAAAGGAGACAGTTATTTACAGAAAGTTCCCAGAAGACTATCAGCTGATTTCTCAAAAGAAACCTTGCAGGCAAGAAGGGGCTGGAAAGAATTATTCCAAGTCATGAAGGGCAGGGACCTATGTCCAAAATTACTTTATCCAGCAAAGCTATTATTTAGAATGGAAGGGCAGATAAAGTGCTTCCCAGATAAGGTCAAGTTAAAGGAGCTCATCATCATCGCCAAGCCCTTATCATGTGGAATGTTAAGGAGACTTATCTAAGAAAAAGAAGATTAAAAGTACCAACAGTAAAATGACAACAAACTCACAACTACCAACAAATGAACCGAAAAACAAAACAAAACAAACTGATCAAACAAACTAGAACAGGAAGGGATTCACAGAAAGAGAGATCACATGCAGGGTTATCAGCGGGAGGGGGAGGGGTGAGAATGGGGAAAAGGTACAGGGAATAAGAAGCATAAATAGTAGGTACAGAATAGACAGGGGGAGGTTAAAAATAGTATGGTTAATAAAGCCAAACATATGTATGATCCATGGACATGAACTAAGATGGGGGAATGATGGTGGGAGGGGCTGCAGAGCAGAGGGGAATAAAGGGGAGAAAAAAATGGGACAACTGTCTAACAGCATAATCAATAAAACATAATAAAGAAAAAAAGGGGAAGGGGCAAGCCGAGGAACAGGAATAGGGGGGTCATGAGCACGGACAATGGGGGAGGGAGGGTTGACTATGGGAGTTGGGGGAATGGGGTAGGGAAGAGCAATGGGGAAACCATGGGACAACCGTACCTGAACAACAATACAAAATTTAAAAAATTAAAAAGAAATGAACAAAAGATTGAAGCTGAAGACCTTAAGTGCTTGCTTTTTGCCTGTTGACCAGATGACTAGAACTATCTCCATTGTCTACACATGAGGGTTTTTAAAAATTATTTTTACCTAAAGATGTCTGTTTTTGGTAATGACGAATGTGTTCTTTTTTTTTTTTTTTTTTAAAGCGGGGGGTTTCTCAATACACCTTTAAAGCTTTTAAAATTGTGTCTATATGGTTGTGATTTTTTTTAAAAACGTGAAACTTTTTAATAGAGGTTTTCATTTTATTTTTTTAAGAGAGAGGAAGGGAAGGAGAAAGAGGGAAAGAAACATCAATGTGTGGTTGCCTCTCAAGGCATCCCTTACTGGGGACCTGTCCTGCAACCCAGGCATGTACCCTGACTGGGAATTGAACCAGTGACCCCTTGGTTAACAGGGCCGAGCTCAATCCACTGAGCCACACCAGCCAGAGTGGTTTTGATTTTTAAGAACCTCAGTTTTAATTTGTGGTAATAGTTTACAACTTGCTTAAAAAAAAAGTCAACAAACTTTAAGCACTTGTTAATAAAAGTCAAGAAAGAAAGAAAGAGAGAGAGAGAGAGAGAGAGAAAGGAAGGAAGAGACAAAGAAAAGAACAAATCAGTAGGGCAGAGGAGATACTTAGAAGGGTCATTGGCAGGGGGCATCTGATGAAGCCATGAGAACAAATGAGCTTTCTCATGACAGAAAAGCAGATTAAGCCTCTTAGGAGGACCGGAATTTAAAAGTGGGTGGAGAAAAAGTACTGTGGTGGCTGATACCCATAAGAAGTATTTTGGTTGCATCCAAGGCCTTCTCAGCCCTGGATTCTGCCTCTGTGAACACCAAAGGACTGTGTGTGTCAGCTGGAATGGGGTCAGCTTCAAAAGGCTGATGTTCTCCTTTAGGCACCCCAACTCTGCTTACGCGGTGCTTCTGAACATTCACTCCGCAAGTGAGTGTGTCGTTTCCTGTGTGCCAGACACTGTTCTAAGCACTGGGGATACATTAGTGAATGAATGGATTAAACTCTCTCATGGTGCTTATATTCTGGTATACAGCCAATAGACAAAAAAGCAAAA